CTAGGATTTTGCCTTTCAATGAAATTCCTATAAGACAAGAAAATTAGTTATTTTTATATGTTGACCTAATTTTAAGCTACTTTATATAACTCAATAATATTCTGTCAGAAATAGAATTTAAACTCTATATGAATATGGACCTTATTCAAACTCTATCCCTAGCACCTAGACAATCCCTAACATGTTACATTAACTTAATATATTTTTTATTTTTATTTATTTATTTATTTTTAGAGGAAATCTTGCTGTGTCGCCCAGGCTGGAGTGCGGTGGTACGATCTCTGCTCACTGCAACCTCCGCCTCCTGGGTTCAAGCAGTTCTCTGCCTCAGCCTCCCGAATAACTGGGATTATAAGCACTCACCACCACACCCAGCTAATTTTTGTATTTTTGTTGGAGACGGGGTTTCACCATCTTGGGATTACAGGTGTGAGCCACCGTGCCCAGTTGTTTATATGTATTTTAATGAACAAATGATGGTATTTTAGTTGATTCTGTTGCATTTTCTGGATAGACAATATTTCCAGTTTTTCAACTATTGTAATCATGAGACTTGGTAGATTGCTCAGAAATTCATGTTCTGAAGTACCCTTTCTCCTATGTATACATCAGTATTAGATAAAATAGAAAAAGGTAAAGTTACAAAGCTATGACATGCAGAAACAAGAACTATTTCTTTGTACTTGAAACAGTGTTAAGATGCCGGGCAGGATGGTTCACGTTTGAAATCCCAGCACTTTAAGAGGCCCAGATGGGAAGAATGCCAAGCATTTGAGAACATCCTGGGCCACATAGGGAGACCCTTGTCTCCACCAAAAGTAAAAAAATTAGCCAGGCTTGAGTCCAGGAGGTTGAGGCTCCAGTGAGCTATGATCATGCCACTGCACTGCAGCCTGGCTGATAGTGAGACTCTGTCTCTAAAGAAAAAAAAAGACGATTTTTATTTAATTTTTAATTTTAATTTTATTTATTGGTGCACCCTATCACCAAACTGGAGTGCAGTGGCAAGTTCTCAGTTCACTGCAACCTCCACCTCCCTGGTTGAAGTGATTCTCCTGTCTCAGACTCCAGAGTAGTTGGGATTACAGGCATGGGCCACCATACCCAGCTAATTTTTGTATTTTTAGTAGAGTTGGGGTTTCACCATGTTGGCCAGGATGGTCTTGATCTCCTGATGTCACAATCCACCTGCCTTGGGCTCCTAAAGTGCTGGATTACAGGCGTGAGCCACCTCGCCCGGCCAACACTGATTATTTTTAGAAATAATACCTGAAAACTTCTCAAATTTGATAAGGAATATTAACGTGCATATTCAAGGTCAATTAACTCCAAGAAGAATGAACTCAAAGAGATCCACACCTAGGCACAGTATAGTCAAACTGCCAAAAGACAAAAACAGAGAGAGAATATTGAATGCAAAAAAAAAAAAAAAAAAAAAGCAACTCTTCTTGTATAAGGGATCCTCAACAAAATTGATGGCTGACTTCTCTTCAGAAACCATGGGGCCCAGGAGGCAGTGGAACAACATTCAAAGTGCTAAAAAATATTGTCAACCAACAATTCCATATCCACAAAACTATACCTCAAAAATGAAGGAAAGGCCAGGTGTGGTGGCTCATGCCTATAATCTCAGCACTTTGAGAGGCTGAGGAGAGGATCACTTGGTCCCAAGAGTTTGAGACCAGCCTGGGCAACATAGTGGGATCTCATTTCTACAAAATAGTAAAACATCAGCCAAGTGTAGGGGCATGCATTTACAATCCCAGCTACTTGGGAGGCTGAGGCGGGAGGATTACTTAGCCCAGTAGGTTGAAGTTGTAGCAAGCCAACATTGTGCCACTGCACTCCAGCCTGAATGATAGAGCAAGACCTTGTCTCAAAACAAAACAAAACAAAACAAAAAAGATGGAGAAATGCGACATTCCCAGATAAACAATAACTGGATTTGTCACTTGCCCTGCAATTTGAGCCATTCAGGCTGAAATGAAAGATTATTAGACAATAACCTGAGTTCATGTGAAGAAATAACACTGGTAAAGATGCTGGGCACAGTGGTTCACACCTGTAATCCCAGCGTTTTGGGAGGCCAAGGCCGGGGATCACTCGAGGTCAGGAGTTCGAGACCAGCCTGGCCAACATGGTGAAACCATGTCTCTACTAAAAATACAAAAATTAGCCAGTTGTGGTGGCAGGTGCCTGTAACCACAGCTACTTGGGAGGCCGAGGCAGGAAAATTGTTTGAACCCAGGAAGTAGAGGTTGTAGTAAGCTGAGATCGCACCACTGCACTCCAGCCTGGGTGACAGACTGAGACTCTGTCTCAAAAAAAGAAAAAAGGCAGGGCGTGGTGGCTCACGCCTGTAATCCTAGCACTTTGGGAGGCCGAGGTGGGTGGATCACCTGAGGTCAGGAGTTCAAGACCAGCCTGGCCATCATGGTGAAACCCCATCTTTAAT